CGTGGGTAATATTTATTTTAAGTAAATTGGAGTTCCAAGTCAATGATATGCATTTATATTGATAATGAACAAATTTTAAACAAAATTCTGGACATCATCTCCGTGGTTAATATTTTTAAATGTTTTAAAACGTAGCAATAAAAATTTTCTTTTCTAAATATGTAATCCAGATACTAGGAGCATTATAAAACGTTGTAAAAAGCAAATTAAAAGCCAAATTCTGGACACCATCTACATGAGTAATGGGTTTTTATTGGCTAAATATATAATCCAAGTAGTAGGAGCGTTTTATATTGTTGTAAAAAAGTAAATTAAAAACAAAATTATGGACACCATCTTCATGAGTAATATTTTTTGTTCACTAAACATAGACTTCTAGGTATAAGATACACTTTAAAATGGATAATAAACAAATTTCAATCAAAACTCTGTACATCATTTCCGTAATTTTTTAAATAAATAAAATCTGTACTACAGGTCTGAAAAACAGAAATGTTTTAAAATGCAGTAGGTAATAAAAAATTTGTTTGCTAAATTATATTATCCAGGTACTAGGAGCGCGTGTTAAAACGTGATAAAAAGCAAATTTCAAGCAAAATTCTGCACACCATCTCCATGACATTTGTTTTTAATTAACAAACTCGGCTTTAGGTCTTAGAAATATTTTAAAATTCAATAATAAAGCAACATAAAACAACCATGGTAAAAAGCAAATTGCATGCAAAATTTTGGATACCATCTACAATCTACATAGGTAATGGTTTTTTGTTGGCTAAATATGTGTACAGATCTAGGGGCGTTTTTAAACGTGGTAAGTAAATTGTAAGCAAAATTCTGGACACCATCTTCATGTGTAAAATTTTTTTTATTATCTAAATAGTAGTTCCAGGTACTATATGTATATACTTTAAAATGACACAATTAACAAATTTAATCCAAAATTCTGGATCTCATCTCCGTGAGTAATATTTTTACATTAATCAAATTTGTGCTCCGTGTCTTAGAAATGTTTTAAAATGCTGTAATACAAAATATGTTCGCTTCATAATGTGATCCTTATAATAGAAACTTTGAAGGCGTGGTAAAAAGCATATTGCAAGCAATATTCAGGACACCATCTCCCATGATTATTATTTTTTTTTTAAATAAATAGGAGTTCCCGGTATTGGATAGACTTTAAAATAGATAATAAACAAATATCAACCAAAATTCTGGATACCATCTTCATGAGTAATATTTTTACAATCAGAAAATCTGTGCTTCAGGTCTTGAAAATGTTTTAAAATTGCTTGCTAAATATATGGTGCCAGGTACTGGAAGCCTGATTTCTTACAAAAGATTGTATATAGACAGTTTTTCAACGAGTGGTTAATCATAATATACAATAAAAGCACCAGAGGTCCTAATATAGATCCTTGTGGCTTGCTGATATCGAAATACGTTTAAAAAAATAAAAATTGTCAATTTTTCAACTTTATTAGCACAAATTGATATAAAAAAAAATGATTAGCATTAAAAATAATTTATTTAAAAATTTCGATTAAAAGATATAACCCATTGTATTTATATTTATGTTATAATAAATTAAAATGCATTTAGTTTTATAGCGATTATTAAATTGTTAAGAAGTAAATCTTTTCTGCTGTAACATAATTGCATCAGAGTATCAAATATTCCATAATGATTATTCTTCACCAGTTGGAGTAGCTCAGAATCTTTCAAATTTCAGTATGAGACAAAGTCAAGCGGTGACAAACCTGGTGAACGTGGTGGTCAACGCTACCCACCTACTATGCAACTTACGTGAATGTTATGAAAATATTTGGGTCCAGAATTTTTCAAATACTAGCACATAAAAAAAGTCAAGAGGTGACAAACCTGCTGAACGCTATTCATTTACAAGTCACCTTACGTAAATGTTATGAAAATATTTGGATATTTTGATTCAATTGTAGGTGTTTTAAAAAGTTTATTTGCTAATATTTATGTCATTTCATTTAATATAAAGGAATATAAATAATGTTTACTCATGGCTTTCGGTTGAATCTGCTGAATTTGATCTGCATTTTTTGATGTCTTAATGGGCGTGTTTAGTGTTAACAAATTTAACAAATCTGTTTAAGCACAAAAAAAAAATAATTTCACAAAACAATATTTTAATTTATTAAAAAATAATATAGTTATAATAGTATAGTGTATAATTATTGTCTCATTCTAAAATCGGATTAAAATTAGGTTGGTATGTGTGTTTAGATATAATAAACAAATAAAGTTTGTATTTATTTTGATGTTTTGTAACCTCGACTCTATTTTTTTTTAAATTGTTTCTACTGTATGAGAAAATAAATTCATGTTTCAATTTATATATTAAAAATGACTGGTTATATTTCCAAGTGCTTAATCCTCAATTGCAGTAATAGAACCAACCAAAAGTACCAAAAATCTCGACATTTAAAAACCATTGCGCTTTTATATGTGAAGATCATTTTGAAGTAAGTAAAGATATTTTTATTTTTGTTTCCAATTTGATATCAATTTATAAACTTTGTAGGTCAATGTACCTTATTATTAAACACCATTTCTGTAGACAATAATAAATATTTGTAATAATTAATTTTTATTAAAAACAAAAATATACCTTTTAAATTGAAGAAGATGCAGAAAACTGGATGTAGTTCATTATTAGTAAAAATTTACACCTAAAATTTTGATTAACAGCTATTTAACTGATTCTGCCAAAAAAAGAAGAATTTAAACTTTGGAATTTGTTGAAAACATGAAAAATGTTTGCATCAAAACTATCAAAAATAGAATCTGTAGCCAAAAAGCTTTTCAATGCTGACAGTGAATCACCAAATGAAAGAATTATGAAGGTAGCAGAATATTTTGAGTCATCATCTGGTTCATTTCAGATCCATTGAAGGAAAACTTAAGAGGTATCAAAATCAGTTCAGACAAAAATAAGATCAATTATGAAAAGTTTGTCGAGTGCGATCAAATTGAAGGATTTAAAATACTAATATAGTTGCAGAACTTAAAATAAAACGTAGTTTGAAAAAAAAGAAAATGTCCAAGTGATGTTAATTCATCTTCTAGAGACTACTACACTGTCAGACGAATACTACTTACATTTTTTTAAAATTGATATTATTAAATCACAAGTTAAAATAATACAAAACAAACCCACAACAAAAAGAGGTTAGAATTTAAGATGGAAAAACGTTGGCAGAGAAAATATTTAGCCATTATGATATGAATAATATTTCGATTTAGAAAAATGCTTTTAAAATAGTTGGTCTAAAGTTACTTCATAAAAAATAAAATTAACGAAATATGGTTTTATGTTAAATTATACGATGTTAACCTTCAAACGAATGTCGGTTATCTGAAATTTCAATAATTCTTGACAATAATGGCAACATCAATAAGATTTTAGGTTTCACGAGGTGAGAAAAACATTGAAGTGCGCGTTTCATTTTTTTTTTATATTTTTTGAAATTAAAAAAAAATGTATGAAAATTTAGAAAAGAAAAAATTTGAAAAAATCTAATTAAAATCAAAATTTTGGACACCATCTACATGGGTAATGGTTTTTTGTTGACTAAATATGTGATCCAGGTACCAGGAGCGTTTTGGACACCATCTATATGGGTAATGGTTAATTGTGCGCTAAATATGTGATCCAGGTACTAGGAGCATTATAAAACATGGTAAAAGGCAAATTGCAAGCAAAATTCTGGACACCATCTCCATGGGTAATAATTTTTAAAAACTAAATATAAGTTCCAGGTATTAGATATGCTTTAAAACGGATAATAAACAAATTTCAAACAAAATTCTGGATATCATCTCCATAGTTATTATTTTTAAATTAACTAAATTTGTGCTCCAGGTCCTAGAAATGTTTTAAAATTCAACCATAAAAATGTTTTAGCTATATATGTGATCTAGGTACTAGGAATATTTTAAAACTGGTAAAAAGCAAATTAAATGCAAAATTCTGGACACCCTCTACATGAGTAATGGTTTTTTGTTGACTAAATATATGATCCAAGTACTAGGAGCGTTTTAAAACGTGGTTAAAAGCAAATTATAAGCAAAATTGTGGACACCATCTTCATGGGTATCTAATATTTATGTTAAGTAAATAGGAGTTCCAAGTCAATGATATGCATTTAAATTGAAAATAAACCAATTTAAACAAAATTCTGGACATCATCTCCGTGGTTAATAGTTTTAAATCAATAAAATATGTGATCCAGGTACTAGGAGCGTTTTAAATCGGGGTAAAAAGCAAATTGAAAGCAACATTCTGGATACCATCTCCATGGGTAATAAGTTTTATTGACTAAATATAAGTTCCGGGTATTAGATATGCTTTAAAATGAATAATAAACAAATTTCAAACAAAATTCTGGACATCATCTTTGTGGTTATTATTTTTAAATTAACAAAATTTGTGCTCCAAGTCCTAGAAATGTTTTAAAATGTAGTGACTAAATATGTGATCTAGGTACTAGGAGCGTTTTAGAACGGAGTAAAAGGCAAATTTTAGGCAACATTTTGAACACCATCTACATGGATAATGGTTTTTTTGCTAAATATGTGATCCAGGTACTAAAAGCGGTAAAAATCAAATTTCAACTAAAATTCTGGACACCATCTCCGTGAATAGTATTTTTGTATTAACAAAATCTGTCTTCCAGGTCTTAGAAATGTTTTAAAACGCATTAATAAAAAATGTGTCGGTTTAATATGTGATTCGGGTAATAGGAGCGTTTTAAAACGTGGTAAAAAAAACAAATTACAAGCAAAATTCTGGAGTCATATGTTTACGTTCGTTCACTCTTTGTATGTATATTATTTATGTTACTAACAAAATGTATGAAGTTGATGCAACAAATTCCGTATAAAATAATATTACAAAACCGCGTGTTTATTAATACAATAAAGTATAAAGATAAGATAACAAGATAAAATTTCTACACCTAAAAACTCACCGTTTTTCCTACGTTTATATCACAGACACAAATCACACTTAAAAAAAAAAAAACACTGAAAATGAAAAGTCTGAATCCAGTTCTGCGGTTTATTGGATTCGATTTTTAAATAATGAAAGTAAAATTATTAAATATCGCCGATACGGTGTACAGACAAGACGGGTAGCGGCAGCAGCGGTTGTGCTTGAGCGGTTTCGGCGCGTCGAGGTAGAGAGCAAGATTTGAATTGTTGTTGTGGGGAAACTCTTATAAAAGCTCCCCACTATTTAGGCGTACCTTACATGACCTAACTTAAACTCCACGTGCTTTTTTCAGACTTTTCTCCGCATTTTGGGTTTTGCTTAAACAATAAATAATAATTATGCCGAAGAACAAGGCCTTTTACTATTTAAATATTCGTGAAAAATATTTTGGACGTCATCTCCGTAGGTAATGTTTTATGTTTGCTAAATATGTAACCCAGTTACTAGGAGTGTTTCAAAACGTGGTAAAAAGAAAATTGCAAGAAACAACCTGGACATCATCTCCATGGGTAATATTTTTGTATGCTAAATAGTAGGTCCTTGTAATAATGTGCTTTAAAATGCACAATAAATCATAATAATGCAGCAGGACAAGGCCTTCTACTATTTAAATATTCGTAAAAAAATGCTGGACGCCATCTCCGTAGGAAATGTTTTTTTATTGGCTACATATGTAATCCAGGTACTAGGAAAGTTTTAAAACGTGGTAAAATGCAAATTGTAAGCAAAATTATGTACATCATCTTCATGGGTAATATTTTTTGTTCAGTAAATTGCAGGTCCAGGTATATGCTTTAAGATGCCTATTAAATCATAATTATGCCATAGAACAAGGCGTTTGAACGATTTACTATTTAGCTATTCGTGAAAAAAATTTTGGACGCCATCTCCGTAGGTAATGCTTTTTGTTGACTAAATATTTAATCTACGTAATAGAATCATTTTAGTTTTTTGTTACCTAAATAATAGGATCATTTTAAAATGTAAAAAAATTAAACCAACATTCTGGACACCATCTCCTTGAGTAATATTTTTATATTAACAAAATCCGTGCTCCAGGTCTTAGAAATGTTTTAAAATTCAGTAATTAAATAATTTTTGGCTAAATTTGTTATATAGATACTAGGAGCATTTTAAAATATGGTAGAAATCAAATTACATTCAAAATTCTGGACACCATCTCCATGGGTAATATTTGTTGTTAGTTTAATAGTAGTTTCGGGTATTAGATATGTTTTAAAATTAATAATAAACCAATATCAAGAAACATTCTGGACACCATATGAGTATTGTTTTTATAATAAAATCTGCGCTCCTGAAATGTAGTAATAAAAAATTAGATAGCTAAATATGTGACTAAGGTACTGGGAGCATTTTAGAACATGGTAAAAAGCAAATTAAAAGCAAAATTCTTGATACCATCTACATAGTTAATGGTTTTTTGCTGGTTAAATATGTAATCCATGTACTAGTAGGGTTTTAAAACGTGGTAAAAAGCTAAATTCTGGACAACGTCTCCATGGCTAATATTTTTTATTGATTAAATACGAGTTCCAGGTATTAGATATTCTTTATAACGGATAACAAATAAATTTCAACCAAAATTCTGGTCACCATCTCGGTGGTTAATATTATTAAATTAAGAAAATTTGTGTTACAGGTCTTAGAAATGTTTTAAAATGCAGCAATCAAAAATTGTTATCTAAATATGTTATCCAGGTACTAGAAACGTTTTAAAACAAATTGCTAGCAAAATTGTAATATTTTTTATGGACTAAATATGAGTTCCAGGTATTAAATATATTTTAAACTGGATAATAAATTAATTTAAACCAAAATTTTGGTCACCATCTTCGTGGTTAATATTGTTAAATTCATAAAATATGTCCTCCAGGTCCTAGATTTATTTTAAAATGTGATAATAAAGAAAGTATTTGCTAAATATGTGCTCCAGGTACTAGGAGCGTTTTAAAACGTGGTAAAAAAACAAATTGCGAGCAAAATTTTGGACACCTCCATGCGTAACATTTTTATATTAACACAATCTGTGCTCCAGGTCTTAAAAATGTTTTAATATTTAGTAATAAAAATTTCAAGCAAATTCTGTATGTCATCTACGTAGGTAGTATTTTTATAACAACAAAATCTGTGAACTAGGTCCTAAAATTAGGATAAAATAAATAATATATACAGAATTTGCAATTTAAGTTATTTATCTATGGTTTATCCCATTTACAAACAACAAAATGGTGGCATACATAACATGATTTAAAAACGAATTTACATAAATTCAATAACAAAGTATTTCAATTATCTTTAAAAAATAAATAAAAATATTTAAAATAATATCTTACTTAATAATCTCAGAATAGAAATAGCTACCAAAAAATTATTATGAAACACCATCTCATTCGGTAATTTTTTTGTTAGCTCATTACCTAGGTCTTAAAAAGGCATTAATGTGCAGTAATAAGGGATCATATTTTTTGTTGACAAATTTTATGCTCCAGGTGATTAAAATATAGTCTTGCATACTGCAGGCCTTAAAAAGCTTTAGAAGTAAAAAAATTTGTAGGAAAATGAACACAATCTCCATGAGTCATAGTTTTTATTGGCGAATCAACACTTTAGAACGTAGTAATGAATTAATTTTAGCAAATTGATGGACATCGTCTTCTTGGTTCATATTAATATAGTAATTAACAAATTTAAAAGAAAATGATGGACATCATCTCCATGGGTAATATTTACGTATTATGAATTACGTACTCTAGGTCACAAAAAAGGCTCTAATTGTAATAATAAATTAATTTGATGCAAAATGATGGGTCATATTTTTTGTTGGAAAATTACGTTCTTCAGTTTCCAAAAAGGCTCTAATTGTAATAAACAAATTTGAAGCAAAATGATGGACACCATCTCCATGGGTCATATTTTTTTGTTGGCGAATTACGTTCCCCAGGTCTTTAAAACGCTTTAGAACGTAGTAATGAATTAATTTCAAGCAAATTGATGGACATCATCTTCGTGGGTAATATTTTTTGGTAGCAAATTACATTCTCCAGGTCCTGAAAGGGCTCTAAAATAAAGTAATAAATAAATTTAAAGGAAAATTATTGACACCATCTCCATGGGTCATATTTTTTTGTTGGCGAATTACGTGTCCCATTCCTTTAAAACCTTTAGTACTTGTTAATTAATTAATTTCAAACATATTTATGGACATCATCTTCTTGGGTTATATTTTGTGTTGGCAAATTACATACTCCAGGTCCTAAAAGGTTCTTAAAATTTAAAGCAAAATGACGGACACCATCTCCACAGATAATATATTTTTGTTGGCGAATTACGAACATCAGGTTTAAAAAGACTTGAAAAATTGTTAAGACACAACAAAAATTTTTGAAGTTATGAAAAATTCTTTTTATCTTTCTGAAGGCCAAATTTAAAAAAAAATACACGACATACAACACAATATGCGTTTTAAATGCTAGAGTTAGGAAAACATTAAAATTTAATTAGTCGTTCTATATGCAAGACGAAAGAAAATAGCTAGACGATGACCCCAATAGCTAATTTAATTAAAATTGTTGTTTTGATTTTTTTTAATTAATTTATTATTGCAAAATTGGTTTATTTTAATTGTTCCGTATTTTATTAAAAATAATTTATTGAATGTGATTAAGCTTCCTTTATCATCAGTTTTGCAAGTTATCCATATTTTTTAAATAATTTTATTTATTTTTAAAAAAATGTGTATTTCAAATGTCATGAAAAAAAAAAACCAATTTTATTTCCTGTGGAAAAATTTATTTCCTAGAATATCTTGATTCATTCCATAAAAAATCATCCATATCTATAATTACAGTAAACGTTCTAACGGTTAATGAAATTTTAATTACTTAGAAAATACACCAATTAAAAAAAAACTTAAAAAAAACAACTTAATAAAATGTATACGTTACTCTTAAAATTTGTTGTGCTGGTAAACTATTTTTGTGGTTAATGGGTTGTCTCCATTCACCATCAAGTTCTGATGCTGTATTTTTGGACAGTTTGGAAAATATATGTGATTCTATTTTTCCTAACAATCAACGCTGTTTGTTAATTGGCGATTTTAATTTTGATTATACAAATGATTGTTTTTACAGTAATAAAATTAAAGCAATGTTTTTACAATATGGAATTGACCAGTTAATCACTGAGCCTACACGAATTACAAATAATAGTAAAATTTTAATAGATTATGTATTAGTTAATAATAATTGTGTTAATGCTGCAGTTCATTATACCCCGAAAATCAGTACCATTCTATAATAGTAATAACAACAAAGACATAAATATAACCACTAAAATGTATAGAAACTTTAGTTAAAGTAACTTAGATAAAATTAAACTCGTCTTATTATCATGTAATTGGAACTTAAAATCTACTGATGTAAATACTATATATGATGAACTTTATAAGAACTGTCAAACGGTAATAAATAATGTAGCGCCTATACAAGTTTACCAGTATAAAAGTAATATTCCATGGTTTGATAATGACATTCATTATAAAATAAAGGATAGGGATAAAATGTATAAAGAATTTCAGACCACTTCTGGTTCTGATAAAAATTCAAAATCGTGGTATGAGGATTATTTTGAGGTGTAGCAAATATGCTCCTATATCTACCATGCATAGATCACTGCAATGGATTTCGGTTTATCAGATATCATACTATCTGACTATGGTATTTATATATAAAATATTAAATGGTTTGGTCCCACCTTATTTTCGAGAATATATTAATTTTAACAATCATATTCATAACTACTCTACCAGAAATAACAGTAACCTGTATCGCATCCGTTACAGAAAAGTGTCATAACACAACATTTTTCAAAAGTGTGTTTTTAGGGTATTATTGCTGTTCTCATTGAGATCTACCAATCAGTAAAACTGACATATTTCTAATTAGTATAGTTTCCGGGCTACGCGCTGATGTGACTGTGGATTTTGCCGTTTCTGCGACCATCTTGCGCGAGAAGAGTGTCTTAACTTAAGTTTTAAGTTAGTATGTGACATGTGACTGACCATCGAGCAGTGAACACGCGCCAGCATGCCGCGAAACTGTCCCAATACAAAATATGACACTCTTCCTGATCGAGGTAAGTAATATAAACAGTCATAACCTAATGTTGTG